TGTTGGAAATGCTGTGGACATGCATGGACATGCTGTGGACATGCAGTGGACATGGTATAGACATGCAGTGGACATGATATGGACATGCGGTGGACATGGCATGGACATGTGGTGGACATGCAGTGGACATGATATGGACATGGTGTGGACATGGTATGGACATGCGGTGGACATGCCTTCTTCGTGAATACTCAAGGTGTGGTTGTTCTGTCTGAAAGGTAAAGTAATTGAGCTGATGTGACTTTATGCCATTACGTCTGAGTGTGTGAGGGTGAGCACCCCGGGGTCCCATCATTTGTTTCCTTGCACCAGCCAGGGAGCGGCGCTCTGGCTCTCCTGGGCGGCACCCTCTCTGGTACCTGCTGCTGTTGAAGTGCCCTTCACTCACTCAAAATCCCCAGGGCGTGTGTTGGGGTGCCGTGCTCTGACCCTGTCTGTGGCAGTGAAGCCTGGAGACGAAGGGCGGGTGTGAGTGCTTGTAACGCCCCATCTGCTTAGTGCTACTGAGGTCAGTTATTCCGTCAGGAGACCCGACAGCAGGCACGTCTGTGGGATGTGGGAGAGAGAGAGCGGGGTCTCCGTACCTCGGGGAGCTCTGGTGCCGGCTCTCACTGAAGCCAGTGGTCGGGCGACAGACCAGTTCCCGCTCACAGCTGTTCCGATGCACAGCCTCAGGGAACGTATTCCTCAGCTCCCTGGGTCCAGAGAGATGGCCATGTGTCACACTGCATGTGGCTTTGGGATTTTAATTCTGAAAGACAGGCTCTACTGCCATCTGATGGATGAGCTCACCGCTGCCCACCTCCAGTTCCCGCTGAGAACGGCCCTGCAGGGTGAGCACGAGACACGCCATGGGGCCTGTGGCCTCCTCGCTGCTCTCCAGGTGTCAGGGTTGGTATTCCCACAGTCGCATAAGCCAGTGGACCGAGGCATCGGAGGGCTGTGCCAGCGTGAGGGGAAGGGGATCTCGGATCACGGACGCGCGTGGAAAGGCAGGGACACAGGCAGGTCGCCTGACTCCCACGGCCCCGCAGTGTCCTGACCCGCAGCTGCCCTCCGGCGAGGGCCTCCCCTCTGGGTGCAGACGGGCTCCACAGAGACCACGGCGAGGCGGATGCTTCTCTCTTTAAAATGGATCTACTTTTATTTATTGACTAGAGGCCCGGCGCACAGAATTTGTGCGCAGGGCGGGGCGGGGTGTCCTTCAGCCCGGCCTGCACCCTCTCCAATCTGGGACCCCTCGGACATCCCTCTCACAATCCAGGACTGCTGGCTCCTAACCGCTCGCCTGCCTGCCTGCCTGATCGCCCCCAACTTCCCTCCCCTGCTGGCCTGATCGCCCTCTAACTGCTCTCCTGCCGGCCTGATCGCCGCCTCTGCCTCAGTCCCCACACCGTGGCTTTGCTCTGCCCTGGACACGCCGTGGACATGCATGTGGGAGCAGGTGGGTGGGGCAGCGCTTTGCAGTCACACGGTGGGCCGGGCGCCTGGGCTGCATCCTTCTACGCAGCTGGAGCCTCACTTGCTCTGTTTGGTTTTCCTGTTCACAACTCGCTACAAAACACACTCACAATCCCAGCCTCCGCTCCTCTCGCACATGCTCATTTACCGTGTCCATGATATTCAACGTGGCGGCAGGACAGCCGCTCACCCCGTCGGGTGATAAGGTAGAGTTTGCCCTGTTTTGCAGGGTTTTGCCCGGCTTTGCTCTAATGCTTCGTTCCTGTGAACACCTGCTAGGGGTGGGTTTCGTGCTAGAAACGTCTGCATTGCCCATCGCTGCTGCTCGGACGAGGAAAGGCATTGGGGGCGGCAGTTCTGTTTCCAATAGCGAGCTCCCCGGGCAGGGCCACGGGGCTGACCACGGGCCATATGGGCTCTTCCGCTTACTCATTCAAAACACAGAGACTGTTGTCGACTGGGCTCAGCATCGTGTGGCCCTGTCGGAGGTGGACACAGAGCAGAATACATCACCGTTTCTCTCTTTTTTAAAAATACGTTTCTATTGATGTCAGAGAGGAAGGGAGAGGGAGAGAGATAGGGACATCCATGATGAGAGAGGATCATGGATCGGCTGCCTCCTGCCTGCCCCACACTGGGGATCGAGCCCGCAACCGGGGCATGTGCCCTGACAGGGAATCGAATCCCGACCTCCTGGTTCCTAGGACGCACTCAACCACTGAGCCACGCGGTTGGGGAATAAATCACTTTTCTGAAGGAGGAGATGGAATACATATGCAGGCAGAACGTGAACTGTATTGGAGGCTGATGAGGACCATGGAGAGGGACCAAGCCAGGAGAGGGAGCAGGTCACGTGATTTACAGCCGTCTTCCCGGAGCGTGCGACCCCAATGGGGGACCTGGTCTCATGTCGCTGTCACCACAGCCATCGGGTCACCCGCATGGCACATACACATGTTGTGAATGGATAGACTTGGTGCCGACTGCACCCCCCTCAGTCTGCCTGCCGTCTCCTCCCCACACCCCTGGGCGCGGAGTGTGACTCACTCACTAGTTATGTGCTTCCCTGCTGCCTGACTCTGCGCGGAGGTTACCTGCACAGGGTGAGAACCTCCCTCTGTTTTGTTCCCTGATGTGTCTCTGGCAGACAGTAGTCTTTAAAGAACTGCTGCCTGGCTGGTTTGGCTCAGTAGTTGAGCATTGACCTATGAACCAGGAGGTCACGGTTCGATTCCTGGTCAGGGCACATGCCCGGGTTGTGGGTTCGATCCCCAGTGGGGAGCATGCAGGAGGCAGCCGATCCATGATTCTCTCTCATCATTGATGACTCTCTCTCTCTCTGTCTCTGTCTCTCTCTCTCTCCCCCCTTCCTCTCTGAAATCAATAAAAATATATTTAAAATATTTGTTGACTGAGTGGATTTTCGTTACTCACAGTGAGGACACAGGTCGTGAGTTTATGGTGGGTTTGGGTGCTGCTGCTGGCAAGTGGGGTTGTTCCTGCCACCAACACACATGCCGATTGCTCCCAGCAAACCCGCTCCAGGCCTAGGAGCCTGTGGGTGAGGGCTGATGGCAGGCCCTGCTGCCAGGGAGGCACCTGGGCACTAGGTGTGGGGGCATCGCCTGGGTGCTTGTTCCGCTGCCAGTGCTACTGCGAGTCCTCTATTCTTGAGGTGTTAAAAGGGGCCCAGCCAGCAAAGCTGGGACAGTCCCTCCATGTTGGACAGAGAGGAGAGGGTGTGGGAGCAGGTGGGTGGGGCTGACAGTGAGGAAAGGGTATGGGAGCTGGTGGGTGGGGCTGACAGTGAGGAGAGGGTGTGGGAGCAGGTGGGTGACAATGAGGAGAGGGTATGGGAGCAGGTGGGTGACAATGAGGAGAGGGTGTGGGAGCAGGTGGGTGACAATGAGGAGAGGGTGTGGGAGCAGGTGGGTGACAATGAGGAGAGGGTGTGGGAGCAGGTGGGTGACAATGAGGAGAGGGTGTGGGAGCAGGTGGGTGGACAATGAGGAGAGGGTGTGGGAGCAGGTGGGTGACAGTGAGGAGAGGGTGTGGGAGCAGGTGGGTGACAGTGAGGAGAGGGTGTGGGAGCAGGTGGGTGGGGCTGACAGTGAGGAGAGGGTGTGGGAGCAGGTGGGTGGGGCTGACAGTGAGGAGAGGGTGTGGGAGCAGGTGGGTGACAATGAGAGGGAGAGGGAGCAGGTGGGTGGGGGCTGAGTGAGGAGAGGGAGTGGGAGCTGGTGGGTGACAGTGAGGAGAGGGAGTGGGAGCTGGTGGGTGACAGTGAGGAAAGGGTGTGGGAGCTGGTGGGTGGGGGCTGAGTGAGGAGAGGGTGTGGGAGCAGGTGGGTGACAATGAGAGGGTGTGGGAGCTGGTGGGTGGGGGCTGAGTGAGGAGAGGGTGTGGGAGCAGGTGGGTGGGGGCTGAGTGAGGAGAGGGTGTGGGAGCAGGTGGGTGACAGTGAGGAGAGGGTGTGGGAGCTGGTGGGTGGGGCTGTCGGTGAGGAGAGGGAGTGGCAGGCCCACCAGGTGCTCTCACTGACCGCAGGCACTGACAGCCTGCCTGCTTTTTATTGTGCTCCGTTATTGGTGCAAACCACAAGTCACACTGCTCACATGTGACTTTTCCGTGGCCTCCGTGCCGCAGGCAGGGGGCCCTCACGTGGAAACATCCATTTGTAAACTCTGTATTTTTTACCGTGTTGTTAGCGAATCACACCTTCGATTGCCGACTAGTAGAGATTTTTGTTTGTGAAGATGAATAATATATTATCTCAAAGTTGAAGCAGGAAAGCCACACTGAACTTGCGAGTGCCATAAATAAACCATTTTAATAATGAAGATACATAAATAAGGTGTTTGTGACAGAAACAATAAAGGTGTCTCTCTAGCTCTGTACAAACTCAGAATTTCCCAGTAATTTGTAAGAAATATATCCATCTTAGTACATTCAAAATGATGGCTGAACAATGATGATTATCATTTTCCTGCATCATTTCCTTTTCATATTCTCTGAATTCCCACCATGTTACAGTAATTTATAGTATCACAGTGCTTGGTAATCTTGAAAATATGCAATAAAATTCTTCTAATGGTGTGGCGAAAATAAAATAATTAAATAATTAGAAGTCATTTGCATAGTACTTTATGGAAACAAAATAATTAGTGTTTTTTCTGTAAACATACATGACGGGCCGTGCTGGACCGTCCTCCAGGAAGGTGCTGAGCACACAGTGACACTGGCTGCTCATATGTGCTTGGTGGCTTCCCCCAACACGTGCTGGGAGGCATGGCTCCACCGGAGGAAGGCAGCTGGTTTTCCGGGAAAGGGAAGGACTCGGGAAGGAGCTAATTCACAAACCCTAGTGCCCCGAGATAGACATACAAAAACTCACCCAGAAAATATATTTCTCACCCTGGCCGGTTTGGCTCAGTGGATAGAGCGTTAGCCCAAGGACTGAAGGGTCCTGGGTTCGATTCCGGTCAAGGGCATGCATGTACCTCGGTTGTAGGCTTGCATGCAGAAGGCAACCAGTCGATATCTCTCTCTCACATTGATGTTCCTCTCTCTGTCTCTCCCCGTTTCTCCCCGTCCCGTCCACCTTCTCTAAAAATCAATGGAAAAATATCCTGGGGTGAGGATTAACAACAGCAACAAATCTATTTCTCAAATCCTGGGAGGTGGACCAGCCTTTGGCTGTCCTTCTCAAAGGCAGTTTTAACCAGGTGCCTGGTCCCTCCGTCGGGGGAGCAGGCGCTGCGGCAGGTCAGCATCCCGTTAGAACGGAAAGCCCACTGTTGGCCACCGGCTAAAGCACAGCGGGGGAGCTCATAAGGCCATGACTGCCTTTTAAGGAGCCGGGGAGGTGGACATCCCCGTGTTCCCTAAGGGTGTCTCCAGGAGCAGCACCTCGAGCACCCAGCAGAAGGGCCCCAGGGGGTGTCCAGGTGGCCCCTGTGGCCTGTGATGGGAAGAGTGAAACCACTTTTGCTTTCTGAATAGCAAACAGGTGATAGACTGAAGACTGTCACCCCCAAGGGGCACCTGGTCGGCTCTGGGGACCCGAGCCTGCCTCCTGCGGCCTCTTCTTCGTCTTCCTTCTCTTCTGCTTCCCCTCAGCCTTATTTTTGCGTGGCTTCTTCTTCTTCTTGCTTTCCTCTATGTACCAGGGCCCCCAGACGCCCCCGTTGAGCTGAGGGTTGCTCCTGGGGTCCCTGGGGGGATACCTGACGGGCACCGCTGTCCTGTTAAACTGTGACAGTCGGCGGAGCAGCTGCCTCACGACGCCGGGGTACCTGCCCGAGAGGTCCACCCTCTCGTAGGGGTCGGCCGTGATGTTGAAAAGCCACACGCTCTGGCCCGTCGCCAAGGTGACCCGCTCACTGTGCCAGCGGTTGGGGCCCAGGTTGCTGAAGGCCTGAGGGGGCACCCAGTCGCTGTACCCGGGGTTCCCCGTGAGCAGCTTCCAGTGCTGCACGCGGATGGCCGACTGGACGGCCGTGTTCCAGATGCCGTAGCCCGCCGCCCAGGAGCCATGCTTGGCCTTGGTGTAGATGGGGTCGATGTTGTGCAAGATGTCCACACGGGGCGAGCGCAGGCCCTCGCTGATGGCCTCCCAGACGTCGTAGCCGTCCAGGTGAGCGTCCTCCTCAATGTGCCCCTCGGCCAGCGCCACCAGCGTGGGGTACCAGTCGGTGATGTGCACCAGCTCCCTGCACACCGTGCCCCGCTGCCTCAGGAGAGGGCTGTGCACGAACCCCACGGCCCGGATGCCCCCTTCCCAGTAGGTGCCCTTGCTGCCCCTGAGGGGCCAATTGCTGCCCCCGGCGGAGGGCTGGCCGCCGTTGTCGGAGGAGTAGATGAGGATGCTGTTGTTGTAGAGGCCGTGCGCCCGCAGGGCCAGGGTCACGTTGCCCACAGCCTCGTCCAGGCAGGAGAGCATGGCCGCGTACCGGCGCCGGTGTGTGTTGGCGATGGACCGGTAGTGCCTGAAGTACCTGCCGGGCGCCTGCAGCGGCGAGTGGACGGCCTGGTAGGCAACGTAGAGAAACAGAGGCTTCCCGGGGTCGTGGGCCGCCAGGATCTGCTGCACCCTGCGCGTGTACATGTGCGTGGAGTACACGCCGTCGTCGTGGTCCCAGGCGGCGTGGTCGTTCTCGTACAGGTCGTAGCCGCACGCCCCGGGGCCGTCGCACTTGTAGTGAGTGTAGTAGTCCCCGCTGCCCAGGAGGGACCCGAAGAAGGTGTCGAAGCCCCTGTGGGTGGGCATGCACTCGCGCCGGTAGAAGCCCAGGTGCCACTTGCCCACCATGTGCGTGGCGTAGCCCGCCTCCCTCAGCTTCTGCGGCAGCGTGGCGTGGCCCAGCGGCAGGCAGTTGGGCTGCGCGGGCCTGATGACCGAGTGCTGCAGGCCCGTGTGGATCTGATACCTGGGCGGAGAGCAGAGAGCTGTCAGTGCAGAGCAGAGATCCCACCAAACACAAAAAAAACAGGACCAGCGTCTCATGCTTGTGGGGACCTCAGGTCCCACCCAGTGAGCTGCATGTTTACTGTTCGAAACGCATTTGGCTAAATTAGAGAGAGAGGAAGGGAGAGGGAGAGGGAGAGAGAGAGAGAGAGAGAGAGAGAGAGAGAGAGAGAGAGAGAGAAACATCAACAATGAGAGAGGATCATCGGTGGCCCCCTGCTCACCCCCCACTGGGGATGGAGCCCACAACCCGTGCATGTGTCCTGACCGGGAATCGAACCGTGACCTCCTGGCTCCTAGGTCTAAGCTCAATGACTGAGTCACACTGGCCAGGTCTAAATTAGTACTTTTGAAACGAAGATTTCACCACGCGTCTCAAAGTGTTTTTAACATTCTTGTAGCAGACTTTATTTGAATACTCTTTACTCTTTCAATGAATTATATGACATAGAAAATGAACACGATAAAGGAAAAGATCTAAATTTCAGAGTCTTATTATTATTACCATTATTGCTTTTCATCCAGGGACCTCACATTCGTTCCTAAATCATTTCCTGAAATAACTTATTTCAAGCTAATTCTGCAGCACGGAACACGTGAAAAAATTACACAAAAGTCTTCTATTTGACTGTCAGAAATGCTCTGCAATCAGGCCTCCAGCTGTGAGGTCTGCCAAGGGAACCAGAAGGTCTCTGACTCACGTTATTGTTGAAAAACCATTTTCTTTTCCTAACTTTTAAAAGTTTCAACTGCTGTTGACATTGAATATTCCATGCGTTTCGGGGGCATCTTGTGGGCAGTGATGTTGGAGTAGGTGCCGTGGCCAGTGGTCAGGAAGGGGTAAGACACGGGAACAGCTAATTCACAAGCCCGAGAGCGGGGGTTAATGTCCCCCAAACAGCAGGGAGCGCGTCCCTTCCCGCTGCCCACAGCGCCTGCTTCCCTCACAGAGCAGGGAGGTGAATGGTGCTCGCCCTTCCTGCGTTGGGGTTGAGGGACGCTGAGGGCCTGGCGTTGGTCATTCTGTGGAGATTCTGCCCTGGGTTATCTCCCCCCGCCCCCCCCCCCGAGAATGGTCATTATCACAGAAGTGTACAAACTTTCAGTTTGGGTCAAGATGCGCCGAGGAGTTCACGACATTTTAGAAGCCACGGATTCTGCCCTGGCCGGGTGGCTCAGTGGTTGGAGCGTCCTCCCACGACCAGAAGGTTGGGGGTTCCATTCCCGGTCAGGGTGACAGTGGGGACGGGCCCGTGATGAGAACGGAGCCACAGCCGGCTCACAATCACCCCCTCACCAGCTACAGGTGAGACGTCATCTTACAGACCCTGGGAGCCTGGGGGGGAAACGAGGCTGTAAAAGGTCCGATGCCTCGATGGGTCCATGACCCAGAAGAGAAGTGCCTTTGAGAACAGACCATGGGCGGGGCAGGCTTTGATTTGGTGGCTGTGCCGGACCCTGACCCCCTCCGGGAGGTTCTCTCCGGACCCTGACCCCCCTCTGGGAGGTTCTCTCCGGACCCTGACCCCCCTCCGGGAGGTTCTCTCCGGACCCTGACCCCTCCGGGAGGTTCTCTCCGGACCCTGACCCCCCATCCGGGAGGTTCTCTCCGGACCCTGACCCCCCTCCGGGAGGTTCTCTCCGGACCCTGACCCCTCCGGGAGGTTCTCTCCGGACCCTGACCCCCCCTCCGGGAGGTTCTCTCCGGACCCTGACCCCCTCCGGGAGGTTCTCTCCGGACCCTGACCCCCTCCAGGAGGTTTTCTCAGGACCCTGACCCCCTCCGGGAGGTTCTCTCAGGACCCTGACCCCCTCCGGGAGGCTGTCTCAGGACACTGACCCCTCCGGGAGGTTCTCTCAGGACCCTGACCCCCTCCGGGAGGTTCTCTCCGGACCCTGACCCCTCCGGGCGTTTCTCTCAGGACCCTGACCCCCTCCGGGCCCAGGCACGGGCTGAGCGTGTGTCACATCACAGATCAGCCTCCTTGTTAGGAACTCTGAGCTCCTGGAGGCCGGACCCTCCCTCCCTTTTCCCTGTTACACTCGCAGCTGCACGTGGCTGTCTCTCCCGTGTGTGTGTGTGTGTGTGTGTGTGTGTGTGTGTGTGTGTGACCAGCCAGCTGGGAGGGGGTCAGGGCAGAACTTCCAGGTGCCCGCCTGCTCCCCTGCTGCCGGCAGGACTGGGATAAACGCTCACGTGGGATGCAGCCCTGTCTCTGCTGAACTGGCTCAAGGAGTGACCGGCGGCCGGACCCCTTGTGTCCAGTCTCGTTCTTACAGCTGGGAACCCAGTCACCCCGTTTCATTCAGCTCCGGCGACCCTGGTGAGGCGGGGCCAAGAGCGGTCCCTAGAGGGCGGCAGAGGCTGGGAGACAGCGAGGAGCTGGCCTGGCCTGGGGAGCCTGTCCCTTAGGCTGGCCCGGCACCCACTGAGGAGGCTCATGTGAAACCGGGCAGAGCCCCGAGGTCTGCCGTCGGCCCTCAGGAGGACATCGCTCTCAGGAAGCGGGTATCCGTGTCAGAAACAGGCCCGCCCCGGCCGGTTCAGCTCAGTGGATAGCGCGCCGGCCTGTGGACTGCAGGGTCCCGGGTTCGATTCCAGTCAAGGGCACGTACCTTAGTTGCAGGTTCCATCCCCTGCCCTGGCCCCAGGCCCGGGTGCATGCAGGAGGCAACCAATCGATGTGTCTCTCTCACATGGATGTTTCCGCCTCTCCCGTCTCCCTTCCACTCTCTCTAAAAATCAATGGGAAAATATCCTCAGGTGAGGATGAACAACAACAACAACGAAGGAAGGAAGAAAGAGAGAAACAAAGAAAGAGCGTTGTTCCTGGAGCCTGGTGCGACGCCTGTGCTCAGAGCTAAGGCCCGGAGCACGGAGGGGCCTCGCTGCCGAGGTCGGCGGAGTGTCCGCTGGGCGCCCGCAATGACTAGCGACGCCTCTCATTCGGAACAGCCCTCGGGAGGCCCAGAACCCCGTGCACGGAAAGGGAGCTGCGGTCTAAGAAACGTAAGTGCAGGCTTGGGGTGCAGCCAGGTCGCTGGGCTGCAGCAAGCACCGCCCCCCCCTTGGTCATGGGGACCCCGGGGACAGGCCAGACCGGAGCCTGTGACCCTGGGGTTCAGGGACCTGCCTGCTCCCCCAGAGCCCCGTCTGCTAGTCCTCTCCTGTCATCACCCCCACAGGTCACGGTTCTCTCTGCTCTTTGTGGACGGAACAAAATACATCCTATAACGCCCTCTTTTTCTTCACGTCTTGAGGCGCGAGCATGAGCCCGCTCACTGCTGTTAGCACCTCAGGGTGCTGGGCGGTGAATATGTTCACCTGTTTTTTGTTTGTTTGTCTCTTTTTGCTTTGGTTGCTGCTTATGACGGTGATTCCATTTTCATCGCTTCCTGTACATTTCCTCTCCGTTTGTTAAATTTCCATTTCACGCCCTTTTTGCTTTTAAAGTGTTTGCGGGTTACACAGTACATCGGACAGGCGCCGCCTATAAGAACGACTAAAAGGGGGGGGCGTCCCAGGGCCTGGAACGGATGAACCCCATTTCCACCGTTTCTAACGGGAAAAAGGCTCCGGCCCTCTAACCGCCTCCCGGGGTGAGTTACGGTGGAGGGAGGGGTCCCGCTGGACGCTGGTCACTGCCCTGGACAGCTCGGGGCCGGGAACCCTGGGGAAATGCAATCACCCCGAAGCGTGTGGGCTCAGTCGTCACCCCGACTTGCTGGCTGAGACTGAACGGAGGCCAGGCCGCACCCACAGAAGGCGCCAGCAGTCAGCTCTCCCGGGTGCAAATGGTGAACGTTACGGAGGTGCAGCTCCACGCACGTTTCAGGAAAGTTTTACTTCAAAGCGACATGAAACTTGCGTTTTCAGACTGTTTTCACCGAGGTCGCCCCCGGAGGCCGTGGGATGAACTGCAGTCAGTCCTGCTGCTGGAGAGACTCGGAAAGCGGGGTGCCCAGTCCCTGCCCCTGCCAGGCCTCCCGGGTCATGGGCAAGGCCCCCGTCCTCAGCATGGACTCTGCCCCCTGCCGGCCAGAGGGACCCGGACCGCGCTCACCCCTCCAGGCATCCTCCCTGCCCACCGGCCCCGGCCCGCTCAGACCAGCTCCCACGGGGGAGGCCCGCAGGCGGAGGCCCAGGCGCAGCTGGAGGAGCCGGGAAGCCATGCTAACAGGGCAACCGTCACAGGGAGGCCCTGGAAGGTCCCGCGGGACACCAGTCTGGCTCAGGAGCGTGGGGAGCTGTGCAGGGAGGTGGCATTTGAGCTGAGTCTTGACGGCGGGCATCTGGGCAGGGGGCCAGTTTATGAGACACAGAGGGGAGCTGCATGCCAAGGGGGCGGTCAGTGCCAAGCACCTTCCCCCCGGAGAGAGAGGGAGGCAGCCTGACCTGCACCCGGTGCCCCCACGCCCCCCTCGGGGCGGGCAGAATGGGGCAGACGAGAGGCTGTTGACGCCACACACGTCAGGGTCAGACAGGCTGTGCCGCTGGGACACTGTGCGACCGTGACCGACACATGTAACCTTCCTGCCCTCTCTCAGCCTCCATGCAAGGACATCTGCTAAATTATTTCACAAATATCTTTCAAAATAATACGAATCTTTTGCCTCCGGGGTGGGTGTGCTGGGGAGACAGCAGGGTGCTGGAAAGAGGGTGGCAGAGTCGGACGGGGTTTCTCTCCCTTCCGTGGCCGTCCGTGGGGACGGGTGTGCTGGCTGCGGGCGCGGCTGTGACGAGACCCCGTCTGAGTGAGGCTAAGGGGCTGGGAACCACGAGGGAGACACCCCAGGGCCGCAGCGCCACGGGGACAGGTAACGTCCAGGGTGGTAAGAGCCTGGCAACAAGCCCTGATGCCGTCAGAGGGAGAAGCAGAGTGCGGGGCCTCACGGCGAATCCCGGGCGGTGGCTGTGGGCCATGATGGCGAACCTGTGACACGTGTGTCAGAGGTGACACGCAAACTCATTTTTTTGGTTGATTTTTCTTTGTTAAATGGCATTTAAATATAGAAAATAAATATCAAAAATATAAGTCTTTGTTTTACTATGGTTGCAAATATCAAAAAATTTCTATATGTGACACGGCACCAGAGTTAAGTTGGGGTTTTTCAAAATGCTGACACGCCGAGCTCAAAAGGTTCGCCATCACTGCTGTAGGAGAAAGACAAAGGGAACCAAACTTGGGGATACCAGCAGCTTTCATCCAGGGCTCTGGGGGAAATGGGACTCCAGTCTTGGGTCCCCATCTTAAAAAAAATTTTTTTTTTTATTGATTTCAGAGAGGAAGGGAGAGGGAGAGAGAGAAACATCCATGAGGAGAGAGAATCATGGATCGGCTGCCTCCTGCATGCCCCCTACTGGGGATCGAGCTGCAACCTGGGCATGTGCCTTGCAGGGACCTGCCCAGGACGAGGACGCGTGGGCAGGCGACAGCCCCCTGCTGCCAGGTGGGGCGATGCCACTGACTCAGGCGCCTGCACCCTGCCAGGTCTGTGCAGCAGGGAGAGACTCCACATGGTGACCCCAGCACACGTCAGGGAGGGGTTAACAGCTTCAGAAACCGCTTCAACCACGGGCGCTCTTTCTTTATAAATGTGAGGAGACTGGAATCCTCTCCTGTGTCACATAACCTAGTGTCTCCTGTAAAGTAACTCGGCCCAGGTGGGTTTCTGTGACTTGTTTTTTTATTTAGAGGATCCAGGATCCGCAGCATGTCCCCTGGGAGAGAATGGCCAGCTTCCCCGGGCTCCGCGTCATCCATGCGTGGCTGGGCCCCGAGCCCGGCTCCAGCGCCACCCTCTCCCGTCTGCGGGACGTCGCGGGAAGTCCCAGTGGTTCGTCAAGAGCAAACTGCAGCCGGCCGGCGTGACTCAGCGGCTGAGCATCGACCTAGGGCCCAGGAGGTCACGGTTCGATTCCCGGTCAGGGCACAGGCCCGGGTTGCGGGCTCGATCCCCAGTAGGGGCGTGCAGGAGGCCGCCGATCCATGATTCTCTCTCATCATTGATGTCTCTCTCTCTCCCTCCCCGTCCCTTCCTCTCTGACGTCAATAAAAATATGTTTGTTTTTTTTTAAAAAAGAGGGACCTGCAAGTGCCACGCCCCTAACTGTCCGGTCCAGACAGGAGCGCCGGTCACCGTGGGAGCGCTGCTGGCCGCGCTGGACAGACATTTCCACCGATAAGTCTCCTCAGGAGGTGCCCCTGCAGGAAAGGGCAGGAGGCCCCCTCCGACTCCAGAGCCACGCCAGGACTTGTTCCCAACTTCCTCTCTGTCTCCTGCCATTAAGTCACCATAACCATAAAAGAAAACCCTGCCCTGGCCAGTGTGGCTCAGTGGATAGAGTGTCGGCCTGCGGACCGAAGGGTCCGGGGTTTGATTCTGGTCAAGGGCACGGACCAATGTTGCAGGCTCCTCCCCAGGCTGGGCCCTGGTCGGGGCTCCTGTAGGAGGCAGCCAGTCGGTGTGTCTCTCTCAAGTCGGTGTTCCTGTCTGTCCCTCCCTCTCTCTTCCACTCTCTAAAATCAATGGAGAAATGCCCTCGGGGGAGGATTAACAAAGGAAAGGAAAAGCCCGCTGCCCTCAGTGCAGGATGCGGAGGAGCCACATGCTGCTGGCAGGAGCCTGAGGAGTGTGCTCGATGGAAGGGGAGCCCACGGTGCCCAGCGCGTGCTGTTCAAGCACCGTGGCTCTCGTCCCTGTCAATTCTTTCTTTTTTTTTTTTAAAAAAAGTATATTTTTACTAGAGTTTGGTGCATGAAATTCACGCATGGGTAGGGTCCCTAGGCCTGGCTGGCGATCAGGGCCAATCTGTGGGGTGACCAGCAGGGCAATCCGGGGGCCCCCACTGGCACCCACATTAGCTGGCCTGGAGCCTGTGGGCTGGGGGCAGCAGCTCCTGCGTTGAGCATCTGCCCCCTGGTGGTCAGTGCACATCATAGCGACTGGTCATTCCACTGTTCAGTTGATTTATGTATTAGGCTTTTATTATATAGGATTGCTTTCAGAGAGGAAGGGAGAGAGAGAGACAGAAACATCAATGAGGAGAGAGAATCATGGATCGGCTGCCCCCTGCCCACCCCCTACCGGGGATCGAGCCCACAACCCGGGCATGTGCCCTGGCCGGGAATCGAACCCTGACCTCCTGGTTCCTAGGTTGACGCCCAACCGCTGAGCCATGCAGGCCGGGCTTGTCAGCATCAATTCCGAGATTAGCTGAGAGGCTCCTGGAGTCTTTGGGACACGTTTACTCATAAACCAAGCGAGAGCGGCTGACCTCCAGGCCACCCGATGGACGTGCTGTTTTCCCGCCAACCCCTTCATAAACATCCGATGCCCTTGACTCTGCCCTTTGAATCGACCGAGGCACAGAGAGACTCCTTTCTCTGTCTCAGGAGAGGGAGGCTTTCCTTCTGCTTTGGCACTGACGCCAACTTCTGACAGTTTGCTGAGCAGTGGAAATCATGCCGTAAGCAACGGTGTCTGCAAGGCGAAGATTCCTACAACGTAGTCTTTATTTTTCCAGCGGAGACTGGCGGTGCCGGTGGGATCCAATTCCAAGAACAACTTCGCCGAAGCGAGGCTCCTTGGGGCTGAACTCACAGGGACACACACAGCGGAGCCCGAGGCTTCCTTCTGCCCCGGCCAGGGCTGGCCTGGCCCTGGATCCCACTTACAAATCAGCTACCCTCGTACTGAACAATGGTCCCTAGGCCTCCAAATTGGATTTTCCTTAGAGTTGGTCAGAAAATTCCCAGGCATAGGGGGAGCAGCATTGACTTTTTTGTTGTGAATCCTCACCCGAGGATATTTTCCCACTGATTTTTAGAGAGAGTGGAAGAGAGAGGGAGAGACAGAGCGAAACATCGATGTGAGAGACACATCGATTGGTTGCCTCCCGCACGCACCCGACCAGGGCCCGGGTCGGAGAGGAGCCTGCAACCGAGGTCCGTGCCCTTGACCAGAATTGAACCCGGGATCCTCCAGTCAGCGGGCCGATGCTCTACCCACTGAGCCACACCGGCCAGGGCCCCACTGAGGATTGACAGTGAGTTTCCTACGCTTTGAGACCTGCCGTGATGACGATGCCCAGCCTTCGTGAGAGCCCAATGAGAGGCCGTCCCCACAAGAGACCAAGCACAGTCGTGGGGACACCGGCCAGAGGGCACACGGCCTGGCACTCTGGGGCCCCTCCCTCTGCGATGACCTGTCGCTCTGAGTCGTCAGTTCTAGAAACAAGCCAAGAGCCACAGAAGCAGGTGGGCATGTTTTGCTTGCCAGCAACGGCAACCGTGGGTTCTAGTGTGACCTGGGAACTCCATCAGAGCATGCCCAGCGCCAGAGGAGATGTGCGATGTGGGGAGACCAGTCTGGGCTGTCTGGTTGGGGGGTGGGTGAACGTTTCCAAGTCCCGCCAGCAGGCTCCCAGCTGCACAAAAGAGCCGGAGACCAGTGCCCCGGCTCAGGGTCACTCATACCCACCACCACTGAACACCTCATCCATTCATTCACTCATTCATTCACTCATTCATTCATTCAGCTGCTCCCCACATTTCCGGTGACTCCCCTAAGTCAGGAGCTGGATCTTCATTAAGCAAATGCTTCGGGGTTCACAATTTCGGTTCCCCAGACAACAGGTCTAGGGTTCCCCCGAGACAGGACCCTACCTGCCGGTGAGGAGCTGGCTGCGGGAGGGCGTACAGATGGGCTGCACGTAGTAGTTCTCCAGCTTCACCCCCTCGGCCGCCAGCCGGTCCAGCGTGGGCGTGCGGATCTCGGAGCCGTGGTAGCCCACGTCGCGGAAGCCCTGGTCGTCCGCCAGGACGAAGATGAGGTGCGGCGGGGCGCCGGCCGGGGCGCCGGGCTCCGGTCCCCATGCAGCCTCCGGGGCCTCCTGGCGGCCGCGGGTCCAGGACAGGTGGGCGCAGGCGAGGAGGCCGAGCACCCCGAGGCCGGCCAGCGTGCGCACGGCCCGCGCCCTTCCCGCTGGGGGCCCCGGCCACACGCAGCGCCCCCGAGCGCCATGCGGGCCGGTCCCCCCTGGACCCCGCGCCCCCGCGCGGACATGCATGCGGGAGGCACAGCCGAGGACCACGGTCGTTCTAGGGGCCGGGGCTCGGCGGGCTCGGCGGGCGGGGCAGCCCGGGAGGCACCTTCTCCATCGCGTCTGGGTCTGTCCCCCGCGAGCGGGCAGCGTCCACGCGGTCAGCGCCGCCGCCGCCCATGTTTCTGGGCGAACACGTCCAGGAGGGGGCGGCGCAGAGCCCGGGCGCCTCCGCGTGGCGGAGCCCTGGGCTTGGGGCGCGGCTCTGGGGGCGCGCGGGTAACGGGTCCCTCCACCCGGAGCGCACGCGCCTGGCTCCTTCCCGGGCAGGTCGGCCGGTCGCTCCAGGTCCGCGCTGCTTCCCGGGTCCCTCCGTCCAGTCCCGGGAGAAGGGTCGGCGCCCCGGCCCCGCCCTGTCCCTCCGCCCGCGGGGCTGCAGCTGCGCGTCCGTCCGCTCCGGGCCCCGCCCCCGCCCCCGCCCAGGGCGTGAATCACCCACGCGGCGCCGCTCCCGCGGGTGGGGGCGCCCGGCGCTCCGCCACTTCCTCCCGGGCGCGCGGAGCTCGCAGGGGCGCGGGGAGCTCGCAGGGGCGCAGGGTCCAGGGATCACTGAGCTACATGGAAGCTCTGGGGTCCCGGGCGCCGGCCCGCGCGGAGCTGCCCGAGAACTTTCCCGGCGCCTGCGGGGATGGAAGAGGAAGCCCAGCTACACTCCTCCCTCCTCTCCGTGTCCCTCGCTCCCCGCCCCCCACTTTGTAACAGTTTTGGGGTTGGATTCCCGTCCCAGGCAGGGGGCAGCCCGGACTACTTCCTGGTGGGGCTCCCGGTGTACTGAGATGCCCAGGCTCCTCCCGCATACTTACCCCCCCCCCCCCCCCCGCCGCCGCATCAGGACCCTCCTTCCTGGTGACCTGGCTGCAGCATCGCCCTGCTCACAGGGAGGGTCTGCGGGCACCGATGAGGGCTCGCCCTGAAATGCCCCACACCCTCACCCCCTCATCCTGACCCTGACTCTGACCCTGACCCTAACCCTCTGCCTAAGCATGAACCTAGGGCTCACTGAGCCCTTTAGCTGTCATTCCCTCCAGTTGGTTGCTGGTTCCCATTGAGTTCCCAGGCAGAACCTCTGTGAACTGGAACTCAGCCCCATGGTTGCAGGCGCTCCCTGGGCTGAGGGGGTGCAGCGGGGAGGGGCGGGGGCGGGGGGCGTGCAGTGCTGCTGGTCTGCTCTCCTGAGGCTGCAGCAGCTGGCAGGCGCTTACAGACCTGCTGGGAGGGGACCTGGCCGCTGTCTGGGACCCAGTGTCCCTGTGAAGGCGCTGGGGCCCTGCTCCTGCTTCCTGGGTCTCCCCAGGTGTCTGGGTGGAAGAGGCAACACTCGGGGGTCCCGCTGCTCCTAGTGGGGGTCAGTGAGGGAGCCCAGAGTGTCCAGGCTGTCACTCAGGACGGAGTTGTCACTTCACCCAGAACACTGAGCCTGTTGAAGGTGTTTGCGTAGAGCGAGACCGTGAACAATGGAAAAGAACTCCTGGTCATTTTGGGGACAGACTTGAAGGCTCCAAGACTAGACCCACCCGCGGCCTCGGTGGGTGAGGTTGCAGGGACCTGCACTCTGGCGCTGTCCCCCAGTGGGAGGGGCCTGGGTGCATATTCAGAAAGAAGCACTTAAGCAACGAAGAGGAAGGCAGGGGCCACCGGGGACCTTCTGTGATTGGCCAATGGGATAAAGAGTGAATGAGCACGGGGCAGTGGCAGGGGGTGAGTGACCCAGAGAGGGCGGTCAGGTAAGTGTGGCCTGGCTCCCCAGGGGACAGACCAAGGGGATGGGTGGCTGGGGGTGGGGGGAGTTCAGGAGGGGATGTGAGGGGCTGTCACTACACAGAGAAGCTAAGAAAACTACAGAGAACAAAACATGGGTAGTTGTGCAATGTTTCTTTGAAACACCCATGTAAATCCTCACCGTAAAAGTGGCATTTCCACACCTGCAAGTTTGGCTCAGTGGATAGAGCGTCGGCCTGCGGACTAAAGGGCTCCGGGTTTGATTCTACTCAAGGGCACATACCCAGTGTGGGGTGTGCAGGAGGCAGCTGATCCATGATTCTCTCTCATCATTGATGTTTCTCTCTCTCTCCCACTCCCTTCCTCTCTGAAATCAATAAAAAATATTTAAAAAATATTTTTTAAAAAGTGACATTTCCTGCAGCCCACCAGACTGTCTGGACCGAACCGCCCACCTGACCCAGCGCTCACCTGGACGTGTCTTCAGCTACGCGGCTCCCTTCCTTCCATGGGATTTACTTTGCGCTAAATGTGCCCTCAGGTGCTTATAAGGTGTGGCTAGTTCTCACATGGAGGCTTGAAAGCAGTGGAAATGGTCAACCCAGGGATTTGTAGACGATTCAAAAGACATAACATGTGATTGTCTGGGTGTGCAAGTCCATCAGACACATAAAAATGAAGGAATGTCATCAAGTGTAAATTCCTCCTAAAACAGTGGTTCCCAACCTTCCTAATGCCGAGACCCTTTAATACAGTTCCTCATGTTGTGGTGACCCCCAATTTCATTTTTACAAATTGAACATAATTAAAGCATCGTGATTAATCACAAAACCAATATGTAATTATACATGTGTTTTCCGATGATCTTAGGCGACCCCTGTGAAAGGGTCGTTCGACCCCCAAAGGGGTAGCGACCCACAGGTTGAGAACCGCTGTCCTAAAACATGCCTGTCCTCATGGGTCATCTTGACGTGGACGCCGTGGGACACGCTCCTCGTGAACATCAGGAGCCGCCCATTGCAGCGCGGAGCGAGGATGGGAGCCACTAACCCATCACAGGAGGTGAGAGGCCCCAGCGAGAGCGAGGGGAGGGCTGGTCGAGTCACCCTTAAGCCAAGACCACTTCCCTTTTGGGGGAAGTCTCTGTTGACACAAGCTGGACTAATTCATAAAGAAAGGTGTGTGCTGCCCGGCCAGCGAGGCTCAGCCATTGAGCGTCAACCTATGAACCAGGAGGTCCCCGTTCCATTCCTGGTCAGGGCACGGGCCGGGGTTGTGGGCTCAGTCCCCAGTGTGGGGTGTGCAGGAGGCAGCCAATCCATGATTCTCTTTCATCGTGGATGTTTCTCTCTCTCTCTCCCTCTCCTGTCCTCTCTGAATTCAATAAAAATTTTTTTTAAAAGAACTTAAGATTCTATATAGTAAAAGGGTAATATGCAAATTGATCCTAACAACAGAACGACTGGGAATGACTGTCACTATGACACACACTGACCACCACGGGGCAGACACTCAATGCAGGAGCTGCCCCCTGGTGGTCAGTGCACTCCCACAGGGGGAGCTCTGCTCAGCCACAAGCCAGGCTGACGGCTGCCAGTACAGCGGTGGTGGCGGGAGCCTCTCCCACCTCCTCAGTAGTGCTAAGGATGTCCAACTGCAGCTTAGGCCTGCTCCCTGCTGGCAAGCGGACATCCCCCGAGGGCTCCCGGACTGCCAGAGGGATGTCTGACTGCCAGCTTAGGCCTGATCCGCCCGGGAACGGGCCTAAGCCAGCAGGTGGACATCCTCCAAGGGGTCCCAGACTGCGAGAGGGCACAGGCCAGGCTGAGGGAACCCTCCCCCCCAGTGCACAAATTTTTGTGCAACAGGCCTCTAGTATGTTTATAATGCAGCGCCTAGTGAAAAACAAGGTGGAATATTTTGTAGGCCAGAACTACACGTATAACATGTACCTGTTACCGTCTGAGGCAGGTGTAGGTGTACCTCCTCCATCGCTGGGCAGGGACTGTGAGGAGAACAGAGGCTGCTGAGGAATGAAGAAGGAAGAATAAAATGACTGGCTGGTGGAGGCCGGTCCCCAGGACTCAGTGGAGGGGCCTGTGTCCGGGGTGAGAGGTGGCTCTGCCCCTCCCTGTCTCTGGGATGGACAGCAGTCCCCCCAACCTTGCCCAGCTTCCGTGACCCCGGGGACAATAAAGGGCTGGTGACCTCCAGCCTGGCATCTCCGCCTCGGTTTCCAGCGTGGTTCCTTTATCCCACTCTGATGGAGGGCTCCCTCGGCGCCGTCTATGTGTTCGCCGCTCGTCCCGCCCTCGGCCTTTTCCTGGGCAGCAGCTCTACCCCCGGGGGTTCATAATGGAGGAAACGGAGAGGAGTTAGGAACCTAGTCACACAGCCAACAGCCTGGGACAGGGAGTCACACCCAGTCAGTCTGGTTCGCCAGTCACCACCCTAAAACCAACACTTTCTTTAGCCCTTTCTTCTGTCAGGAGTTTTACTAAGGTTTTTCCAAAAAGACTCAAGACGTTTAATTCTCACAGTTTCTCCCTGAAACAGGGATGCTTGGCCATCTGCCTGTGACAGTGGTTCCCTCTCTGTCCCTCCCTCTCTTCTTCTCCCCCTGCCCATGGCCGCCCCTCTGCTCCAGGCTCTGCACGCCCTCCTGGCACTTGGGCCGTCCCGTGGTGTCTGATGCTGGTGACACAGCCACCTCTGGGCAGGCCTGGCGGGAGGGTGTTTAGGTAGCAGCAGAGCCCCTGAAGCTCGCCCACCTGGACCGGGCTGGAGCCATGATGGGACCTTCCTCTCGAACCCGACAGGGAGGCTCCGCTGTCACCTGGCTTGTCCAGGTCACATGACAAGCCCATGACGAGGGGCCTCTTGCCCGCGCTGTCACGCTTTCTCGTTCCATGACATCACGCCTGCCTGCTGCTGTGTTTACAGTGTCCTCCTCCTTGTTTAGAAATCCAGTGCCAGGGAGGAAAAAAGATGGCGGCATAGATAAACACCAGAGATTGCTGCCTCGCACAACCACTTCAAAAATACAACTAAAAGACGGAACGGACATCACCCAGAACCACAGGAAGGCTGGCTGAGTGGAAATTCTACAACTAGAAGGAAAGAGAATATCATACCAAGACTCAGAGGAGGTGCCCTGCGGAAGTAAAATACTAAGGTGTGGGGGTGCATGCGGAGCGGGCTGCCGGCTGATGGTGTGGTTGTCTTTTTCAATCGGGAGGGAGTCTCAGGCTCTGAGCTCCAGTTCTGGGAGAGTTTCTGGGGACCCAGACTCAAACAGGAGAAGCGGGACTGTCTGGCATCAGTTGGAACTCGAGGGCAGCTTTCTCTCCGGGGTACTTGCAGCAATTGCTGGAACACTGAGAAGCAGAGCCTCTGAAGGCAGGACTGAGAGCAGCCATAACTGCTCACTCTGTCCACCCTGTTTATCCCCTAGGACCCGCCAAGCCCAAGCCTTGCACGCAGGCATTTGCTGGATAGCCTCAGGCAGAGGCTAGATTAGCACCTCCCTAGAGATCAGGACAGAAGTTCTCCCACTGCAGACACAGCTGATTCTCACAGCCAATTGGCCTGGAGGTCAAATCCCCCCCCCGCCCCCAGTGTTAACTACAACAATCAAGGCTTAACTACAACAAGAGTGTGCACAAAGACCACAAGGGGGTGCACCAAGAAAGCATAAAAAATGTGGAGACAAAGAAACAGGACACAAATGACAGAAATGGAGGAAAGCAAACTGCTAGATATAGAGTTC